TTGAATGTTAATTCTTTCAGATATAATTCCTTAATTCAGTCAATCTTTCGTTCATCGCGGAATGCGCAACTCTTTCCATCTTTCTCTCCTCAGTAAGTGAAAAGGGCAAAGATTACTTACTTAATACGTCCTCAAAACTTGTAACTACCGGTAATCAAAACTTGGTTTTAACAATGATAAAAATTCTCGACTGTAATCATCAAAAATAATGTCAGAAATAAAAAGGAAAATCATTATCAATTATGCCAAACTGGATTCGTGGATAAAGAAAGTTATCTTATGACAATGATTCAAACTTCGAAAAGAAAACAAAAAACGGGGTAACTCGTAACTCTGAGCGAGAGACCCTAAAACGCCACGGTACTAGGCTGTTGGGCCAACGGCCACCCGGTCCTGGCAAAAGGGTACTTTAGGGCCGGACATATCCCTGCACAGTCTATATTTCGATACTGTGTGCTACCCAAATAGGCATTTGCTGCTGTCTTTCCCCACTTTCAGGTCTCTCTATTCTCTAATTAAATCAAGTGTTGTTTATCAGTTTATTTTATAATCAGGACCTTGTCAAGTTCTTGCGGCACCATTTGTTTCAAGATATTTTCAAGATGGCGGGACTGGCACCAACTTCAGACGACGTTGATTCACTGTTTTGTGGAGCAGGGCGTAGTTTGACTATGTTTATTCACAGCGACAGAGTCTAGCTCTTGGGTTGCTTCGTTTGAAACTACCGGAAACCTGGAAACATCTACCTTCTAGTTCTAGAGATGGCTGTGGATTTGTTGTTGTGTAGTTTTCAGTTTGTTTATGTTTTGCTGCACTCAGATGTTGAAGAAAAATCGCCAAAATATTCTTTATCTCAGCCAATGAGAATGAAAGAGTAAAACAAAACAACCAATCGGATTTCTAGGCTAGTTTAAAGGAACCAGTATTATTTCAGGAAAATGAAAGACAAAAAGCCATCGTGTACCGAATTTTGCAACCATTATTGCCAAAACTTTTTTTCCCAAAAACAATTGACGAATTTAATTAATTACAGTTTCTGAATACGATAATGAGCTCCTTCAGGCTGAAGATCTACTTTAAGGGAAGTTTCCAACTTTCAGTGTCCATTTCGTTGACGAATATTTTGGCGATTTTTCTTCAACATCAACATAGTTCTACGCCGAGGTAAAACGAAAAAAAAGGAGACGTTAAGGAGCTCAGTCACGGCTTGCGCATATTGAAAAGTTCAGCCTCAATTTTTCAAATTCGTCGTTTATAATCCGTGTTAATCTTCTCCATCCTTAGCCATCCTTGTTCCTTTATGGTTTATCATTATCTCTTTGATGTTTTTCTATCTTATTAAACTGTTATTTTCAGGTTTCCTACCATTTAAAGGTAATTTTGTACGTCGCTAAAACTGAACTCAAAATACAGTGACTGAGCCCCTTTAAACTCGTGATTTTCTACACATCTATT